CATGGCCCCCACCCAGCTATCCATGGGGTCACTCTGCTGTGCTCCAGGCCTGCAGGGCCCCCGGCACTGATTTGCACTGAACATCCCACCCCTGTGGTCACAGGAATACCTTCCAAACAGGAGACAGGCCCAGAGCGACACATGAACTCTCCCTGTCCCCATCCATCGGGTTTACACTGGAGCCTAATGATGACACTTTAAACATCTATTTTTAAGAAAGGTAAAAAAAGCGATCCGGGTAACTACAGGCCTGTTAGTTTGACATCTGTAGTATGCAAGGTCTTGGAAAAAATTTTGAAGGAGAAAGTAGTTAAGGACATTGAGGTCAATGGTAATTGGGACAAAATACAACATGGCTTTCCAAAAGGTAGATCATGTCAAACCAACCTGATCTCCTTCTTTGAGAAGGTAACAGATTTTTTAGACAAAAGGAACGCAGTGGATCTAATTTACCTCGATTTCAGTAAGGCATTTGATACGGTTCCACATGGAGAATTATTAGCTAAATTGTAAAAGATGGGGGTCAATATGAAAACTGAAAGGTGGATAAGGAACTGGTTAAAGGGGAGACTACAGCGGGTTACACTGAAAGGTGAACTGTCAGGTTGGAGGGAGGTTACCAGTGGAGTTCCTCAGGGATCAGTTTTGGGACCAATCTTATTTAATCTTTTTATTACTGACCTTGGCACAAAAAGCGGAAATGTGCTAATAAAGTTTGCAGATGACACAAAGCTGGGAGATACTGCCAATACAGAGAAGGACTGGGATATCATACAGGAAGATCTGGATGACCTTGTAAACTGGAGTATTAGTAATAGGATGAAATTTAATAGTGAAAAGTGCAAGGTCATGTATTTAGGGATTAATAACAAGAATTTTTGTTATAAACTGGGGACACATCACTTGGAAGTAACAGAGGAGGAGAAGGACCTCGGTGTTTTGGTTGATCACAGGATGACTATGAGCCGCCAACGTGATATGGCCGTGAAAAAACCTAATGCGGTCTTGGGATGCATCAGGCGAGGTATTTCCAGTCGAGATAAGGAGGTGTTAGTACCATTACACAAGGCACTGATGAGACCTCACCTGGAATACTGTGTGCAGTTCTGGTCTCCCATGTTTAAGAAGGATGAATTCAAACTGGAACAGGTACAGAGAAGGGCTACTAGGATGATCCAAGGAATGGAAAACCTGTCTTATGAAAGGAGACTCAAGGAGCTTAGCTTGTTTAGCCTAACTAAAAGAAGGATGAGAGGAGATATGATTGCTATCTATAAATATATCACAGGGATAAATACCAGGGAGGGAGAGAAATTATTTAAGCTCAGTACCAATGTGGACACAAGAACAAATGGATATAAACTGGCCATCAGGAAGTTTAGACTTGAAATTAGACGAAGGGTTCTAACCATCAGAGGAGTGAAGTTCTGGAACAGCCTTCCAAGGGGAAGCAGTGGGGGCAAAAGACATATCTAGCTTCAAGACAAAGCTTGATAAGTTTATGCAGGAGATGATATGATGGGATAGCCTAATTCTGGCAATTAATTGATCTTCGACTACTAGTGGTAGATATGCCCAATGGCCTGTGATGGGATGTTCGATGGGGTGGAATCTGAGTTACTACAGAGAATTCTTTCCTGGGTGTCCGGCTGGTGAGTCTTGCCCACATCAGCGTTTAGCTGATCGCCATATTTGGGGTCGGGAAGGAATTTTCCTCCAGGGCAGATTGGCAGAGGCCCTGGGCCATTTTCACCTTCCTCTGCATCGTTGGGCACGAGTCACTTGCTGGAGAATTCTCTGCACCTTGAAGTCTTTAAACCACGATTTGAGGACTTCAATAGCTCAGACAGAAGTTAGGGGTTTGTTACAGGAGTGGGTGGGTGAGATTCCATGGGCTGCATTGTGCAGGAGGCCAGACTAGATGATCATGATGGTCCCTTCTGTCCTTAAAGTCTATGAGTCTATGATCAGCAGCATTAATGATTTCATAGCTGACCTTTCCTGCAGAAGCACTAAGCTAAGAAACTGGCTGATCCTGGCTGAATGATGAGAGTTGGGACTGAAGAATTCAACTTCTCCCAGTTTTTAAGTACCCTCTGCCCCAAATTAGGAGGGGAAAGGGCTGTACTCTCCCTCTCTCCACCAGGCCAAAAGCCTCTTCCTCATTCAGGAAAAGCCATCACACAGCAAGTTGGGCACAGAATAGGGATATGGGTGTGCTAGGCTCAGGCTTCTAAAGAGGCCAAAACCACCACCCACCTGCTGCCCCAATCCCACGGCAGCTGAGACAGGCACTTCTGTGACAAGGAAGCAAGAGTTAGAGCTTATGGGAGAGGGGAAGCCCAGGCCTGGGCTAGCAGGGGGCTGCAGGTCAGGATTGAGGGGCGCCAGCAGAGCTGGGGGGAGGAGTCCAGGACTGGGCTAGCAGGGGGCTGCAGGTCGAGAGTGAGGGGCATAGGCAGAGCTGGCGGGTGGGGGGAGCCCAGGGCTGGGCTAGCAGGGGGCTGCAGCTCGGGAGTGAGGGGCACTGGCAGAGCTATAAAGAGTCTGGACTCAGGACATCCTATGGTCCCAGCAAGCCCACAGAACACAAGCCTTCCAGAACACAAAGGCAGTGGGTGCTGTACGCTGACCCATAAGTGCTCAGCTTCCTAAGGAACTATGTAGGAAAGGGGGAGCAGCTAGCCACCCGCCCAGCTCCAGGAACTGCACTTTCACGGACCCCTAGAGGGGAACATGACCTCCATCCCCACAGGTAACGAGTGCATCTTTGCTCAGATCTCCCACATCGGCCTAACCACCCTGAAAGCTTCCCATGCCCTGGGGAAGAGAAATAGACCCCCCCTACCCTCACACCTCTAGCTGGCCTAGGCACGGGGTGGGGAGGAGATGACCTGCTGGATAGGCGAGGAGCAGGACAGGCTGCAGCAGCCAGTCTGTGGGGAACGCAGAGCCCCTGGGTCCAACAGGTTCTGGCTGAACAGCTGGAGCCATGATCCTGCTCTCCAGCCCAGCCCCATGGCAAGGAGGGGCAGGATTCCTGGCTTTGGTGCCCTGCTGGGCCTGGGTGCTTGCCCCCCAGGTAGGGAGGGTGTGCAGAGAACCCTGCTGGTTCAGGAGCAGGGGGCTCCTAAGGGAAGGTGCCCCCAGAGGCTCAGTGCCCAGACACGAGGGGTTGGCCCAGGGGAAGGAGAAGGTCTAGCGTGGGGAGGAAAGCATGGGGCAGTGTCCCCTGCCTGCAGATCCAAAGGTGCTGTGCAGCAGCGCCCCCTAATACTGGGGACACAGTCTCCTCCATTACTGTCCCGGGGCAGTTATTGGGGAATCACTATCAGCCCAGGACGACCTGGGGGACGCACTCCAGGCTCCTCCTGCCAGCCCTGCCCCCTTGCTGTGTGCCCCCTTTGCCATGCACCTCCCCACATACTGTGCAACCCCTCATCACATCTCCCATTCCACCATGCAGCCCCCTGACCCTGCCGTATGCTCCCACGCCCCCTGACCCTAACATGCCCCTGGGGGTGGACTGCTGCTCTGGGGGCCACCTTTCGACTGCAATCAGCATTGGCAGGTCAAGCAGAAGGTGGGTGCTAGTGTGCTGTGGTGGGGGCTGCCCACAGCTTCCCCTTCCCGCCATGCAATCTCCACGCTTGGAGAGGAAATATAAAAGGCAGCTTGCTCCGGGCTCAGCGAAGGGCCATTCATTCCCTTCCACAAACACTAGCGCTCTCCCTCCGCGGGATGTTTTCGTTTCCCCCTCAACAACGATAACGCATGCGAGCAACACTGGCTGCAGCCAGCCCAGCCCAGAGCAGCCCCACCTGGGACTCAGCTCTGCCGCAGAGCCCATCCCCCACCGCCCACCCTCTGGGCCCAGGGGACTGGCAGTGCCCTGCCCAGCTGCCCTGCCAAGAAAGAGGCACTGCTGGCCCCAGCCTGATCTCTATGGGGCATCCCGGGGCCCACAGCATGGCTTGTGGGCATAGGTAAGGGGTTCAGGATCCTAGTGCCAGCCCCGGCCTGTAAAGCCAGGGAATGAGCTGAGGATGGAGAAGGGAGCCGGCGAAACGCTGCCAGACAGAGGAAAGCGATGGGTGGGTGGACGGATAGCCAGCATGGCACTGCTGCGGAGTGGGGGGAGGCGGAGCCGGAGGGAGGGACAGGCTGCACGCACGAGCTAGTTCTGTAGGCCGCTCCATGCCCGATGGAGGCTCTACGTGCCCTGCAGACGGGGCAGCATGGCATGGAGACAAGCCGCCCTCGAGGCCCTGTATGGGCTAAGCAACCTGCCAGACCAAGCAATGGATTAACCCTTCCTTAAACATCAGTTAACCCTTCCGAAGCAGTTTCTAAGCACCCCATCTAGGTTGTGCGCCCATCGGGCAGGGCTGGCTCACCGCTGCTGACTGGGTTGAGGTTTTTATGGGGTTCTGGCCACTCCCAGCAAAGAAGAAATCAAAGACTTCCCTGTCTCAGGATGGGGCTGGTTGGCACCCAGACCCTCTGCCCAGTTCTGCAACCAGCCTGGATGGCACCACTGGGCATGAAGCCCAAGGCCTCTTATCTCAGGGGCTGGCACCCGCCAGCCCCAGCCCAGTTCTTCAGAGAAGAATTGCAACCCCTGGAGCACCTGCCAGGTGCCATCGGCCCCCCGTGGAGATGATGCTGGAGCAGGGCACGCTGGGAGCTGTTGTCCAGTGCCTCCAGCTGGAAGATGAGGGAGGCTGCAATTGGCTTGGTTTCAGGTGTTGCCCTTGGCCTTCCGGTTGGCTGCTAATGTGGCTCCTGGCTGGGCAGAACCATTCTGAACCCTCTGGGAGAACTAGTCCCGGCCAGCTGACACGGGAGCCAAGGGAACCAGCTGCCAAGGAAGAGCCTGCGAAAGTGACAGGCTGGAGAGAAGGGCCAGGGCTTCCGTGTGCCCCCGCTCCTCTGGGGTACCTGGCAAGACCGAATGGGAGAAGCCAGAGCAGGCCCCATCCCCAGCCAGACACAGCATCCTCGGGCAGAGAAGGGCCTTTATTGCAAAAAATAAAGGGTGGAGCCACCCGTCCAAAGAACAGGACCCTGCCCCCTCCCCCCATGCAGCTCATCCATGTTCTCAGCCCTGCGGAGCACAGGGAGGGGCAGTCCCACAGCTGGGGGGACCGGGGAGGGAAAGGGCTGAGCAGGAAAGCCAGGCCAGTGTGGGCAGAGGAGATGCACAGGGGTGAGAAGCAGAGGAGACACCTGCCACGCCGGCTCTGCCAGTGGAGAGGCCTGGCCACGGGCAGCACCAGAGACTTCCCAGCATCTAATGCCCACAGGTGAAGTGAGAAGGGGCCGAACGAACTTCCTTCAGCAGGATCTGCCATGGGGGGAGAGGGCCCCACGCACTGCCTGGAGCGGGAGCCCTGATTGGCCCTTCTAGATGCTGCGTCAGGGATTCAAGGCTCTGCGCTGGTGTCCTGGAGCTGCTGTGGTGAGCAACGAGTGCCTGGGGCCAGACCCCTCCCCACGGTAAGCGGGAGGGGCAGTGGGTGTCAGCCGAACAGCCCCTTTGCCTTCTTCCTCTTGGCCTTGGACACGGGCAGCCGGGCTCTCTGGGCCGGAGAGGAGGGAGTCTGGAACCAAAGGAACCTCTGTCAAACCAACGGGGATGCTCCCGCGGGCCGGGTCTGTGCATGAGGCTGTGTGCGTGTGTGCACGTCCATAGGTGCTGGAACTAGGGCCACGGGGGGCTGCCGCACCCCCTGGCTTGAAGCGGTTTCCATCATATACAGCGTTGGCAGTTTGGTTCAATAGATCCCCACTGTACAAAGTGTTCCAGCAGCCCAGTGCTTGTCTGTCTGGGTGTGCATCTGTGTGTGTCTGTGTGCGGAGCCATGTCTCTGGGCATGTGTGTGTGTGCGTTATGTCCATGTGTGTGCATGCATGCACAGAACAGGAGCACTATAAACCAGTCAGAGTTTCTCTAGCCCCTGCGTCCCAAAGCACTTCCCAGCCCGTAACTCCCAGCACGTACCCAGCTGGGATGGGCACAGCAGCGCCACCCTGCAGGTCAGGACAGGTGGACAAGGCCCCTTGTTTCCAATTAAAAGTGCGGATTTGATGGAAAAACGCTGCCCATCCCAGTCACCACCCCAGAGACAGTGAGGGGCCCCCAGTCCCAGAGCTCCCCCATCCTAGCTCCCAGCCCCAGTGCTCCCACCCCCCGTGGGCTCCCAGCCCCAGCTCTCCCCTGCCCTGGCTTCCAGAGCTCCTGCACCTCACACTGGCTCCCAGCCGTGTGCAAACGACACACAGGAAAGCTGTCCGTGACAGATGCCTCCTCCCTGGGGCCCAGCCCTGCCCTGCTGGGATGCACCCTGCCGCCAGCTCTCCCCCACACAGCACTCTCTCCCTGCTGGAGCCCAGCCCCCTCACACAAGAAGCTCCAGCCCCAGTTTCCAGCCTTGCCCAAGGGAAAACCTTTCTGAGTGGCTGCCTGCCCTGCTGCCCCGCCTCCTGGGGAACAGCAGCCAGTCAGAGGTGCTGTAGGAGGCAAGCAGAGTTCTCGCCCCACCCTGCAGGGGCCAGAGGAGTTTTTGGGTAGGGGAGGAGGGAGAGGGAGCAGCCAACACCCTTCTCACAGAAGGGGAGCAGGGAGCAGAGCCCTGCACCAGGACTGGGATCCCACAGGACCTGCTCCCATCATATTGGGAGTGGGTGAAATGGGCTTTGTTGCAGGTGGGATGGGCGGGCAAAAAACCAGACTGCGGGAATTTGCAGGAAATCACTAAATCTCTCATCAGTTTACCGAGAGTAGCCTATTCAGGACATGGCTAATTATTTTGTTTGAACTTCTCTTTCCTACACCTGTGTATCTCCCTGGCTCCAGATCCAGTGCTGTACACCGGCTCAAGTCAGGGCCGAGAATCACAGTCACAGGGTTTCTTGTGTGTTGTTCTGGGACGCCACATATGCGCAGACGGTCGCTGTTGTATCAGCTGGCTGTCAGTGCTGCGAGCAGTTTTTCTGTTCAATGTTTTTCAAAAAGCAGTAATAATCCTGACACAGAAATAACTTGACTGGGATGTTTCAAAGTTCTAAAAACAGCGCTTAAGTGGGTTAAAAATTTCCAGTTTTTTTTTAAACAACTTACTTTTTATAATCATTAAAAAAACCTGCACCTTTTAAGGCAAAATTTTGGGGCAATTTGTTTTGACATTCTGTGTGATAGACACACAACAATAGTTGATCATAAATAGAATTTCATCAATGTAAAGCAAGTTTTTCCTTTTTTAAAATGAAGGTTTTAATACTTACATTTAAGCGAGGGATAGACAGAGACTTGATGTCTATTATAACAGGAGTTAAAGTATTATTTACATGGTTTAAGCAAGATTTGTTTAATCCTTTTAGTGGTAAAAATTGTGTCTGAATTCCGTTTATAATATATTAACCAACCGTAGTGGGTTTTTTAGTAGCGGGGGGAATCTGTCTCTCTTGCGGGATCTAAGGTTTGTATAGGTGGGAGCGGGATAAAAATGCAAGAAACAATGCGGGGGCGAGTGGGTATTGCAGGGCGGGAGCAGGACTAAAAAATAGTCCCAGGCAGAGCTCTAGTAGGGAGAACACAGAGCCCAGCAGGCCCCCTCCTGTGGGTCAGTCTGCTCCCCCTCCCCTCCCCTGTCAAAGGGTCAGTCTCCTCTCCGCTCCCTCCCCTCCCATGAACCATGGGTCAGTCTGCTCTCTCCTCCCCTCCCCTGTCAATGGGTCAGTCTGCTCCCCCTCCCCTCCTGTGAGCCATTGGTCAGCCTGCTCCCCCCTCCCTCTCCCCTGTCAATGGGTCAGTCTGCTCTTCACTCACTCCCCTCCTGAGCCATGGGTCAGTCTGCTCCCCCTTCCCCTCCCATGAGCTATGGATCACTCTGCTCCCCGCTCCCCCGCGTCTCTAACACCTGTGGGCAGTTCCAGAGGGGACCCCCACTGCAGAGCATCCCGGCTGGAGCAAGGGGAAGACGCCCCCCTGGAGCTGCAAGAGTGGGCTGGGTGACACAGCACTAAGGAGCTGGAGGCCCTGCACCACCCCGCAGCCGGGCCAGGGTCACCTCACTCTGTCCACTGGGGAGCTGGTAGCTCTGTAACTGCCCCACACACCAGGAGAGTTCACAATCCAAAGTTGGGGGGGGTGTTTGGACTGGACATGTCCCATTAGGAACTTGGCTGAGACCCACCTGGTCACCATACAGCCACTGGATGGGAACCAGCTTTGATCAAATAGGGCCAGAAAGGCTCCATGTACACAGTCCTCTGAGCCAGCCCGTCCCCACCCTGGGGCTGGATCAGAGCCCTAGAGGGGAAAGGCCCAGTTTCCCATTCTCCACCCCCCAAGCCAGCCAGAGGGGAAAGGATCCCACAACCAATCCTATAAGCCAGCTAGTCTGCAGAAGGTTGGCTTGTGTCAGAGACTGAGGAGGGAACAGAGGGCTCCGGAGCAGAACCCAGTCACTGCAGGCACTTGATGGAACCTCTGTGGGGTGGAGGCTGCTCAGCACAGCTTGTCTCTCCCTCCAGGGCCAGCCTTTCCCCAGTCAGGTCTCTCACACCAGCCTTCCAGGAGGCTGCTGGTTTGGGAGCTGCACTTACCGCTGTGGCTCCCAGGCTCTGGGGCAGGTCAGAGGGTGGCTCAACACTTTCCTGCTGAGAGCCCACCGTGACCAATGAGTCCATGGCCTCCCCAGGCAGCTGGGGAGACGAGGCGAGCTCCAGGGTCTCAGCATCCCCTGTCCCAAAGAGAGAAGGCAGGAGTCAGATATGCGTGAGGGAGCAGAGAGGCCAACAGCTAGGGGAGAAGGATGTCGGTCACCCACTGACTCTGGGGAGCAAAGCAATATGGACACCCCTAGCTATAGGGACCAGACCCTCCCTGCCTGCCAGGCCAGAAACTCCAGGACCATTGGGATGGGGCGATGCCCAGTGCCCCCCACACCCCTTGTAGGAGGGGACCCCTGGTACAAGCTGCACTGGACACATTTCCATCTCCCCTCCCCCCAACTCACCTGAGTGGCGCCGCTTCTGTGCTGCCCTCGCCTCCTGCCTGGCCACGGCCGTGTAGAGATGCTGCAGGGTGCTTGTGAATGCCTGGCCGTCCCCTGCACCGCACAGCTGGGGCAGACTCTGAAAGGGACAAGAGGCACCGTCAATCCCCCTCTGTGCCGTGCCAGCACCTGGTGCCCAGCCCAACGATGCTGCGGCTGAAGACTGTGCTCGGGGTAATTAGTGGGGGGAGCAATAGCCACCTGGGGACTTCACTGATCCCAGGCCCTCGGCTCCATCTCCTCTGAAATACCCCCAGCATGTTACATAGCCACTACCTGCCCGGAGAGCGCCCCCTCCTGACCCCACCCGACATCCTGCAGCACAGCGCCCCCTGGTGCCATGCTGGGGCCAGCACTGTCTGCTAGGGGAGAGCACCCCCTAGTCACCCCACCCCACTTCCTGCCCTAGTGCCATGCTAGGGCAGTGGGGCCAGCACTGACTGCGAGGGGGGAGAGAAAGCCCCGCCCCATAGCACTACTTACTGCTTGGCAGTCTGCCATCCCAGTGCCTTGGGCAATGTGATGGAGGTTCAATATATAACACAACTCTGGTGCCCCCCAAGAGGCGGTCTCATCCTTCTTCTGGGAGTGCAGGGGGTTTAACTGGAACATGTTCTCAGCACTGGGGAGCTCGCTGCCTGCACCCCCAGCACATCACCCCATCTGCCCAGCACATTCCTAAGCTCGGCCCCATCCGAGCACTGGCCCCACCCCCACAAGTGCAAAGTCATCTGGGCCAGCCTGCCAGCAGCTAGGTGGGCTCCTGGCTTTGCATTCTGCCCCTCAGTGGAGCAGGGTTCACTGCATTTCAGAGGCCCCTTGCCAACTACAGCTGGGGGCAGCCTCTGCCCAGCCAGTGCCTCATACTGTCCCCCTCCATCTAGTGGCCCAGAAATAGGCCCCACATTACTGCCCAATTACTGTAGGGCTGTGGGAACACAGAGATCAGAGAGGGCAAGTCCGGCTCCTGTCTTATGTGGCCCCCACCCCTTTCCCTGTGGCATTCCCTCTCCAGAGCCCAGGACCACTGACTCAGCCCCACAAACCAGGGGCTGCTCCCACAGCCGATGGGGACTAGGACAGATCATATGAGCGGGTCCCAGGCCAGCGAGGGCTTCTGAGACACCTGACCCTCCGTCCAGAGACTAGCAGGCAGCCAGTGCCAAAGCCAGCACACCAGGCTCACAGCAAAATATCTGCTAGCTTCAGTCTCCCAGTGCCTCAGGCTGCACGGTGGGTGGCTCTGGCCTGCTGGGGGCCTGGATCCGTGTCACTATTCTTGATGTTACAACACCATCCTCTGGTATCAGGAGCCACGCTGCCAGGCCTGAGAGATTGTCCCTGCCCCAAGGACCTTGCAGTCTAAACTGAGATGGGTGAGGAGGCAGGATTACTAGCCAAGGCCACACTGGGAGTCTCTGGCAGAGCCAGACACTGAACCTGGGTTTCCTGCATCCCCAGCCAGCACCTTGACCATAAGACCAGCCTGGCCCTGTGGGAGATGTGGTGGTGCCCTGCTTGCCGGGTGCAGATGAAAAACGTGGAGCTTCCTTAGTTCAGGGGCACTGCACCTTGACCCAGGGCCAGTGGGCACTGCTGAGTGGAAGAGGTAGCTGGGCACCCATGTCCAGACTCACTGGGACACTGCTGGCCTGGCAGCTTCTACTTACACCCTGACGCTCGTTGCCAATCTGGGCCCTACCAGAGCAATGGGTGCATGGGCCTACAGGCCGGCACTCAGCACTCAGCAGGGTTGCTCTGGACCTGGCCTTGCAGAGCTCCTCCCGCACGGGCTGAGCAGCTGGCAGGACAAGCCTGCTCCAGCACTTGGCAGAGCCCTGCTCCTCCCCAGCTGTGCACACACACACCTGCTCCAGCCTGTGGGCTGGAGTCCCATTCAGCAGAGGATTCCAGAGGCCGTGCCTGGGGCTCTGCGAGCTGAGAGTCATTCATGAAATGCTGCTGATAAGATCTAATGGGAAGGGCTGTGGCTTCCCCTGCAGGAGCGACTGAGGCCCTGAATCAGGCAGCAGCCTGTGCGATAAGGGGCGTGTGAGGCCTGGGCCAGGTCTGAGTTTCAGCCAGGCAGGGGCGAGCAGAGACGGGACCCCAACCTCTAGCAAGACACCCTCGTCCCCTCCCTGCTCTGACTGAGGCAGAGGGAGGAGGCTGGGATTCCTGAGCACCCCGCACCACAACGCAAAGCTGTGCCCACCAGCAGCCCCAGGGCAGCATTGGCATGGGGGGGGGGCAGAGACAGGGTGAGGCAGCAGAGAGCCCTTCTGCATAACTCCAGAGCCCACTCCAACTCAGAGCCTCTCAGCGCTAATTCTGCCACGTGGCCCAGGCCACCCCCAGTCCTCGGCACCCCCCACAGGCACTGCCCACAGAACAGGGAATGGGTCAGCACTCCGATATCTGAGTGCCCAGTGGAAATGGAGTCCATGGCCAGTGCTGGGGGTGACATCCCATCCCAGGACACATAACCATCACCTGCCTTGGGAAGGCCGGTACCCCATCCCCCACACCTCCAAGGGCACCGGAGTAGCTAGCAGCTGGTACCTGCACACCTAGACGAGCCCCCCGCCTTTTCCACTTGGTCGCATGGGCTGCTGCAATGTTCCCCAGTGCAAGTGCCATGCTGCACCCCAGAGCCAGCAGTCACTGAAAGCACCCATCTCTGCTGGGCCCACGTTCTCTCCCATCCCTTCTCTGGCACCAACAGCGCCCCTCATTTGTTTGCCAGACAGGGTCCCTTTCCTGGGTAAATATGCCCAGGTGCCCCTGGGGACTCAGCAGGGCCCTTGCGAGGAGGGGCTGTGTGCCTTGCACAGGCTGGGCATTTCCGCCAGCTGTCTGGCACCATGAACAGCTCTGTGTCCCCACTTCAGCCGATACCTCCAAACGGCCACATTTGCCATCCCACTGCAAAGCAAATGACTTTCCCAGTTTGTTTTTTCTTAATGGCTTTTTCTTTCGCTCGAGTGCGTGCCCGGCCCCAGCTCGGCGCGGTGCCAGGCGGAGCAAGCGTCATGCTCGGCCGGGAGGCGAGTGCTGCAGCATGTCCACAGGAAACCAAAAAGCACTTGCCACATCTCTACCTCCATCTGAAGTGAGTCGCCATCCCAGGGCTCTGGGGATGGGAGTGGCCCTGGCCAAGTAACACAGGGCTCCTGGGGGAGCATTTCAGACCCTCCCCCAAGGCAGGAGGGACTCCCCTGTACAATCATCAGAGCCACGCTGCTCTCAGAGGCCCATCTGAGTTTGGATGGGGCTGCTGGCCTCTGTGTGCTCCCTCTAGTCCATAGGCCCAGCGGCTCCAGAGCAGCTAGCCCGAGTGAGGAGAGGCCCCCCCGCCTTTATTTGAACACACCCAAGTAGCAACAGGGACTTGGCCGAGGTTCCCATCCCCACACCCGCAGGCAGGAATGGCAGCTGCCCATGCAGCTCCTAGCAGAGCAGGGCAAACGCGCAGAAGGCATCACGGCTCCACTCAGAAGGCGTAGGGACCAGCAGCAGCAAGCACAGCTCTGCGTGCCTAAAGGGCAGGTTAGGAAAAGTTACTCCAAAGGAAGGAAATTCCCAGGCAAGGCTCTCACTGCCCCCTCAGCTCATCTTCCTCATGCCCAGCAGGGGGTGCTGTGAGGAGCAGGGCAGGGGCACAGGCTGGGGCAGGAGCTCCCGCCTAGATCAGTCCCAGCTGCCCAGCAGGGGGCGCTGTGTCATGGTGCGCTCTCTGCTATGGAGAAGCATCTCCCCGATGCCGTGGCCCACACTGCACTGACGGAGATGCAGCAGGCTCTCTGCCTGGGGGAGGGGGCACATCGCGAGCACTTTACCCCCCAGCCCCAGCACAAAGCAAACCCATCACCCTGCCCGCAGCGTGTGTGTCAAAGGTCTGAGGGTGAGGGCTAATCTCTGCCGGCTCTGCCCACTCCACACCCAGACAGCAGGGAGAACAAAGTGTAACAGATAAAGGCCAGTTCCTCTGTGCTGGAGGGGGGCGTGGATCTGCTCAAGGCCAGAGTCCACAGCCTGCGCCTGGCAAGTCACAGCAAGGGCCTGCGACTGCCATCCCCTCCTTCCTCACCTGGGGCGTCTCCCTGGGGTGCTCGAGGGAGGGAGGAGCAGCCATTGCTGACAGGCCCCTTGCTGGTGCTGGATCAGTTCACCTGATGCTGGTCCCGCTTGCTGGGGCCGGGGCGGCTGGAGCACAGCGGCCCACTTGCACGAGCAGAGGCGGCTCTCGGCGTGGAGCTGAGGGGAGCCACTGCCACCAGCGCCCAGCTCCAGGGCCCGTGGCCACAGGGGGCTCAGCTTCAAGCCCAGTCACATGGGCGAGGGGTGTAGGAAATGGCACCTGGCACAGCCACTGGGCAGCACAGGACAGGCAGCCAAGCACTCGCCCCCACTGCCAGGCCGGGCCAGCCTCAGCCCACCACTATCCTCATGGAACTGGAGCCAGGGCTGCTGCCTGGAGGGCTGCAGGCCTCAGGAGTGCTTCACCAGCTCCTCACCCCCAGCTCTAGGGACAAGCCATTGGGCTGGGAGTCAGAGACCATGGGGGCAATTCCTGGGCAAATGAAAGCACCAAGAAATCATCCCTTTGAGACATGGCCCCCGCACCTCCTGCTCCACCAGCCCCCGCTCTCTGGCACCCTGAGCTTCACTGCACTGCTGCTCCTACATCTCCAGCACTTCTGGGCTCGCTGCCAGTTCAGCTCTTCTAGCACAAGACCCCCAGCCCCTTGCCCCCCATTGGGGGCTCTGCGACCCAGATCCGAGCCTTGGTCGGATTTGGAAAGAAGTGCCAGGGAAGGAAGGTGAGGAGGAGAGGGCAGAGACAGGAGAGCACTGGGCAGCTGCTGCTAGCAGCTGCCCCCTCCTCATTGCCCAGGCAGCCTGCAGGACTTCTTTGGGGGAGGCAATCCAGGCCCCTCCAGCAGCCCTGAGTGCAGTATGCTGGGAGAGCAAGGGGGAGCCAGGGGGCACGAAGGTACAGGCTGTCTATCTGCCCCTCCTCCACAGCAAGGCACAGGAGGCAGCTCCCCCCTGCTGCCTTGGCAATGTGAAGATCCA